TGGAAAATGAAATGGATAACTACGTCAGACTTAAAATTGGTTTGGTTGTAAAGAAACACAGCAGCAGGTCAGCGTACAGTCCAGGTGAGCACAACTGTGTCCAAACAACCCAAACAGTCCATCTGCCTACGTCACCAACGAGCCTTTAGCTATTCAGAGGACCTGATAAATATTTTTCACTATTTTATTTTTTATTTTATATGAATACTTTTAGGCTGGTTGTGTTCCAACACACGTTTTGTGGTGTGGTAACGTGTTTAACACAGAGTTTGACGGAGGGAAGAGGGAAGGAAATGTGTAGGCTGACAATTTAAGCATCCAATTTGCCAAGAGTGTTTTTCCAACTTTCATATATTTGAAAGTTACATTTTAGCACTGAATTTGGTATTTCAAAAATATGTTAAATGATCACGTTTCATAACGTTTATGGTTGATGTGATCGAGCACTGATTCTGACACAGTTTGGGGTATGAGGGCATTCTTGCCACCTCAGCAGGGGGCAGAGTTAGCTGAAGCTGGTTAAGAGGGCAATCTGGCTTATTTAGGTCACTTGGTCTGACAGGAGCAATGAGGGCGATGAGGATGTCTGGGCCACGGCAAACCTTCGTGGAAGCTACAGCGGGTCTGTGCTGCTCTCAACTGGGCCACTCTGCCTGGAGGGAGGAGGTGGTGGCAGCAAAGGTCTGCGAATCTTGGCTTCTCTTCTCAAGGTTTCATTTATATTGTTTATTCAAATGAGAAAGTGGCAGAATGAAACAAATACGGGAAAAGCATAATGAAAGAAAAACACTGACAGAGGAAGGAGAAGACGACTTATTGGTAGGAGTTAGATGTAAAAAAGGCAGACACCTTATCCTGAAGCAAACAACAGAAGGAAAGAAAAATGGGCAAATATGCCGAGATGACAAGCAAAGATTAAAGACTGGGCTGTCAGTGATGTCTGGTGCAAAAATATACAGCATAATGTATCTGCATGTTTCACAAAGTCACATAAAAGTCTCTAAGACACACACCTGAAACTGCATTTCAGATCAAAAGAAACTAAAGATGACAAAACCCTGCGATGTGCATCGCACAACACGGACAACAGGAAACTGTCAGACGCTCCCTGGATGCTAAAGATGTCAGAATAAAGTTTGAAACCTGCAGTATCAGGATAATTAAGCTTAAACTGAACGAAATAACCCTGAAGCATTAAAACAAAATAATGGAGGTCAGTGTGGGAAAAGAGGGCTTTCTCTCCCTCATGTGTCATTTAACCTGCCTTTTCTTACCAAGCCCCCTCCCCCACTCTTTGCTAATCAAACATCCACATGCTTTCCCCATCTCTGCGCGTCTGCCCTTTCTTCAAATCTACTTTTATTAGGACAGGAGCGCTGGTGCATTTTTATCAGCCAAAAGACACGAGGCAGACTTGCTCTGCGATTCCTGAAATCGGAGATGGCTTCTTCTCCCAACGGTGCAAACAAAAAGTCCCAGTGCTCATAAACGGACACACCGTGGTTCCACAGCTGCTTTGTGCCGGCGGTACGTCTCAGTAGAAAACCAATTAGAGTCAGGTTTGTACTCCATCTCCTTAAACGTCTCTCATTAATGGCATTTAATTAAAAGCTTATCTGTTGTTGTGGCGCTGCCAGAGCCCTGGCAGCTGCGGTTGAGCCCGCTGGCAGCGGGAAATGTGATGAGGGAAAGGTAAGGGAAAATGGAAGAGGACCGGAGACAGACGGACTCCAACTGTCTGCCTAAACCCGTCTCATTAGGTAACTTATTTATGGTGATGAGCATCCGGAGGCTCTTTAGTAACCCTCGTGTATCCAGGGAGTGTGTACCGAGCACGTCCTTCCTCTGCTCGTACGTTCACGCATGTTCACACCTGGGAACTGAGCAGCTAGAGGAAAAAGACAAATAGACTGTGCCGTGTGTTATCCATCTTGTGTAGAAACACTTTGTCTCCATCTCTGCTCCCAGGGTCAAAGACTGCATTAATTATAATCTGAAAAAAGCGCTGTCAGAAAAACAGCAGAAAAAACAGAAAATCCAAAAAACACCAGCAGAGACCTTTTCCATTATTTCTAGATGTGGCCTTTGTCTCCTCTGAGCCATTTGTCTGCCTTCACAGCAGCTCATTGGCCACCAGGAAGCTTTACTGCACCAACAAGGCAAGATCCATTTAATCTGAATCACTTCCACACCTTCTATCATAGCACAGGGTGACCCTGCAGTTGTCTTCTCCAATTTCATTTTCAGTGCGACTAAATACGTGCAACACATCCCTCCTGACAAAATGATTGCTAAGTGTTGTCTCACTACTTAACATTAAATACTGCTACATTACTCTGAGCGGCCAGAGCGAAGAAAACACCTGCATACACACACGTGTTTGAGTCACGGCTGCAAAGCTGCCAAATCACATCATCAGCTGCTTCACGGCACGTTACAGGTTAAAGAGCTGACAGTAACACAGAAGTGAAGAAAGTCTAAAGTGATGGTAGCAGCGACAGTTCTGTGATGTGCTTCGTCAGGGCGCTCTGCTACACGTGGAGAAGAGCAGCTATTACTGAGCCTGGCTGCTGATTCAGCCCACTTATCAACACAGTCAGCAAGTGGAGCTCCAGCTAAAGGCTGTGACAGAGGTCACAGAGATGTGGCCACGAAACACGCTGGTTTGCATTTAATGATGTTCGTCAGAAATAAGTTTAATAAAGCAGCACAGAACGAAATGTTTGCTCCAGTATGAAAGCGATGTGGTGAGGGACGAGGTCTAAATTAAAAACAGGAACTGCTGTTAGCCAAGTCGTCATATTTATAACTGTGCCAAAAATGTCAACTAAGTTATAAGTTCCCAAATATTGGATTTCAGGGAATGTGATCATTCAATAACATCAAGCCTACATTATAGCAGAGTGACAACATGCAACATTATTACCATGCTTCAATGACGCCATGTTTTCTAACCAAGAAACCGTTTGTGTCACAGGTTAAAAGCTTCATGAGGGTAAATATTTAGCTGTGATGCAGCTTTAAGCTACTATTTAACAGTGTGTCTGTGAACCATCACAGAGGTGATCTTAAAACGGCAGAAGCTACACACACAGACGCAGAGGCTCCGCACAGACGCACTGCGTGGTAATGTAATAAGATGAAAAGAGATCAAACAGACTCTGAGAGCAGGTTGGTGGGGCATGGACGCCCAGCTGGCTGTTTCAGGAACGCCTGCATTCAGGGCCGGACTCGTCAGGTCAGCCTGTCGATACTTTTGAGATGAATACGGTGCTTCATTAATTCATTTCTGGAAGCAGGAGGAATCTGTTAAAAATGAATTTTCAGCAGCAGCTACACGTACCTGTGTTAGTATGTACTGCAGCGTCTGATGCCTCAGGCTCGAGGCCTTCAGCGTGACCACATCAAAAGAGGCATATTTTAATTAGTTTGGTCTGTTCAATTATGTGTTTTTATTTATTTATTTCACTTTTTATCTTAATAATGTTTCACACGTGCAGCCACAACATGTGTAGCCCCAGGGTGTGCCAGGAGCAGCAGCTGCACTCAGACTGGATGTGATGCTTGTTGAGTTGAGTTGGTGACGATCAAATCTATTGTTGAGGACATGAAGCCCATGACGATTATTCCTAAACTGTTCTCGTGCTGACTTCACAGGTTGTCATGCACAGCTGCTGTTACAGTAGCAGCTGTGCAGAAACTGCTCATAAACAAAGATGAAGGCACATGTTATGTTGAGCGGAGCAGAAACACCAGATATGGACATTTCTGTTAAGGGTGGGTTCTGTTCAGCTCTAGCAGCATGGACACCTTACTAAGACACTATGGACCAGATTAACTAACGTGCTGTGGTACAGCTAACTAGGAATAAATGTAGTTAAAAACTATACTGCTGTATTTACAAAGGACTGCATGCACGAGGTGGGAACTCGGAGATTTCTGTAACTGAACTTGTTGCAAACGTATTTCTGAGAGTTCGTTTCAGGTGCAGAATATTAGAGAACTGATTCACTAACATTTGACACATGAAATATTACTTCTATTTGTGCCAATATTAAAGAGGAAAAAAAGCATGTCCCCCCTCTGTGAGCGGTCGCAGCAGATGGCTCCGCCCCTCCCTGAGCCTGGGTCAGCTAGAGTGTCTCGATGTTAAAATGACGTTTTTCCTTCCCACTGTCACCAAAGTGCTTGCTCATGGTGGTGTCTGATGGGTGTTGAGTGTTTTTCTCTATAACTGTAGTCTTATAAAGACACCAGACTAATATTAACCCCACTAACTGTACGTCTTTGACTGTGGGAGGAAGCTGGTGCACCCACGCAAAGTCCACACAGGAAGGCCGCAGCCAGGTGGGCGGGACCGAGCTCAGTGCTAATCACTGCACCACCAAACGCAGCGATTCATTTACTCAAACTCATAACAGAAAGAAAGGCAGCGCCTACGTTCAGAGAAAAAGATTCGGATGGTGGAGACGTACATGCTCAAGTTAGTCATTTTTGAGTCCTTTGCTCGCACTATACGTCTGCACCAGCGGCACGCCGCTTTGGTTACATCCTTAGGTTTACCTCCTTCATCCCAAAGTGGCGACTTTATATTGTTTTGGTAACTAGTTTGTCCATGTTTGGACTTCTTCTGTGTTGTAAACGCACAAATTAGTCCGTGCATGATTACATTGCTCCGCCCATCAAAAAGTCTGCACATGCATGAATATATCGCCCATCGTCGATTATTGGACTTAAAATTCTCAGGAAATTTTACCATCTTGCCCAACCCTACTGTAATGCTGTATCCTGAAAGAAGTAGAGGATGGAGGATTCAAGGAGAAGTGGGATTTTCATGTATGTCTTTTATAAACAGGATTTAAGAAGCTGTTACTAAAACCTTTGGTCTGGTCTTTAGCCAGCCCCTCCGTGTCTGCTCGTGCCCCCCGGGCACACGACTGCACATCAGCAACACCTCTCTGCTGCACAGAACAAAAGAAGGAAGCGGCGTCAATACTCACCGTTGACAACGGGGGTGTACACTACAATGCCGGCCAGATTTGGGTCAGACACCGTTTTGTCCAGGATGAGCCCTCCGATGCTGCAGAGCACAACACAATTAGCTCATTAACTCCGAGCGCATGGACAGGCGTAGGTTCACCTTCACCTGAATGATGTGCACAGTGGATTTGTGTGCTTCTCTATAAGAGCTACTAAAATCCTTCATGGCTGTACTGTACAGAGAGTGTTCACAGCCCAGCCCCCCTCCTCTATTACAGCCTGTGTGGGTCTGTAATATCAGCAGCACTGATTGTTGAGAGGAGAGAGTGAGAGAGAGTGAGAGAGAGTGAGAGAGAGTGAGAGAGAGTGAGAGAGAGTGAGAGAGAGTGAGAGAGAGTGAGCGGGACAATAATTTGCTTCCTACTGGCTCCTCTGTACGGCCGCCAGGCTCAAGGAGACCTGAGGGTGTATGTGCTGGGATGCTGCAATTTGTTTAGGGGATGAGTCATCGTGCAAACCAGACGCTGGGAGGTGCAGACTCGGGACAGCTGTTCTTTGTCCTTCAGAAGACTAAACACACACCTGCTGATGACCATAGCAGTGATGACGGGCTCCCATCCTGAGTAGAGCAGGGTGCGGCTGGCGGGGTGCTTGGAGGAGATGACGATCCACAGCGGAGTCAGACACATGAAGAAGGCCCAAACCAACGACGACACATACGGATAGGAATCTGCAGAGGAGACACACTTGGGTTTGAGTTTCTGTCCTTTTCCTGCTCAGGTGAAACTGAGTAATGTGTCAATGACCCGGGTAAGAAAACATGTTGATTCTGTTCATCGGGACGTCCAGATTGCTGGAACATCTGAAACGGTTCAGCACCACAAACAGGACTTTTTTCCAGCACTTTAAGGAATGAAGATTGTTTACTTGTGGCTGAGCAATGGGAGCCTGAGAGCTGCAGACGGAGGTCAAATGAAAGGAACAACCTGAACCGTTGACTCTGTGGTCCCAGTGGAAGATCTCCACTGCAACAACAATATTCCTCATTATTATCTCAACCCATCTTCATCTCCCATAGATGAGATGATCCACCTGTGAGGCAGCCCTTTCATCAATATACCAAATGCAGACTGAAATACTGATACTGTGCTGACTAACGTTCAGCATGAATGAAAAGCCACAAAACACGAGCAGTTAGGACAGGACACAGCAGAGGACTAAATCCATCCAGTAAATATACACAGAATATTTTCTCTCACTTGCTCTAATAGTAAACGTCTTTGTTTCAACTAAAATACAACACAGTTATTTCGGAGAGCTAATTAGACTAAAGCACCTGCATGAAGCCACCACCAGATGTTTCCAACATTTCAAGCACTCAGTAACTGTCATTAGCGAGCAGTCCCACGTTTACTATCTTGATGGTCTAAAGAAAAGAAAGGGCGTGGTGTTCAGCTCAGGATACAGTGGGCTCTGGTAGGCCTTGGATTTTAAAATGTGAAACAGATAAACTGAGTCATATCTGGAGCGGAGCCTTGTCCCAGAGCAGCCTCTGGAAATGTGGCACCAAGTTAACATAGACTAAGTAAGCTCCCAGTTAGACTCTTCTACCTTTAGCCGTTGCACGTGTCAATAATTATCTTGCTTCGGTGAATAAACCTGCGAGCAAGCAATTGATATTCCTGCCCATCCCTGAAGGAATACATTTTGCTACGAGACTCTGCCAGGAAGAGGGACGGAGCAGCTGCCAGATATCTAAATGGCTCCATTCTTCTAATGCTTGGGAAAGTAATGGTGTTTCCAAACATAGTACAACCACGTTTTTAGATGCTAGTCGTGCACCCAGCATGAACTGGGCAAATAGAAAATAATAATAATGAGAAGAAGAACGTGTTTAACTGTTTAACAAGAAGGAACCTGCAAAGAGACGTGGTGACGAGGTTACCTGAGCAGGTAGGGACCAAACAAAAGAACTGCATTCTTCTTCTGTTATTTCAACTATTTCAAGTCTGACTCACTTCTATCAGAGATGAGGTGAAGTGGACGAGACTGCAGCATTTCACTGTACTGAAGAGTTGGTGCATATAGAGCACAAAGTCCTGCACTCTGGCAGCGTCTGTCTCACAACAGACAACTAAGAAGAAAAGACTCCGACTGATGAATTCTTCATCGTATCTAAAGGTGAAGCTACAGCAGCTTTCACGTGAGCAGTCTCAGCTGACTGTGGGCTAAAGTCCAACCTTCCTTTGGACCCGTTAACGTAACTGTTTTACATATAAGGAGAAATCCTTTATCCGAGTCATTAAGATTGTAGTTCTGCTTCCTTGTGTCATGGGTGTGCACCGTGTTGCACTGAATGCTTTTCTGCAGGTGCAGCCAGCATGTAAACACCCATCTGTTCATTTGACCTCACACCAACCTGTGCATAAACTCTGGGCCCTTTTCTTGGTGTTAGTGCTTCATCTCACACTCACATTATCCCTGCTTTCATCTATTGCTGAGCCCTCTCAGTGTAGCACTCTGTAACAATCCTGTTGGTTAACAGCCCTCTATAAATAAACCCAAGAGGACTCCACATGATTCCTACAGCTGCAACGTCTCGCTTGCGTCTCTACTTGGCTGTAAATGACTCTTGGTTTAGCTTTTCTTACGAGAACAGACAGACGTGCGATTTCAGTTTTCATTATCTGAGAGTAAACTGACCGTTAGTTTGAATTTACTGGGCAAGTGTCTGCGTGGGCTCAAAAACAAGAGAGCCAGTGTGAGCGACACAGCCAGACAGCCTCACTGCCCTGCCATGGAAATCTGAAGTGTGCTTAAGAAATTTAGCTCCCAGCACTAAACTATTCCTTTTATAATGGAGAACATCTATGCTCAGCAATTAGACCTGACAGGTTGAGTTAGCATGAGATGGTTTCCAAAGGAAAACGCTTCTAATGTGGCTGCACTGAGTAATACAGGTGGTGCAGCAGGTCTGCTGTCACATGATTTAAACATGTGCATGTCAGGAGGAAGAGAGATGGTCTGTCCTGAAGCTGGAGGCTGATATTCTTACAGAGTGAGACAGGAAGGGCCTCTGCTGGCCGACTGGGGGAGCGTATGACTCTACAGCACCACATGAAGCATATTTGAACTGGATATTATGACTGAATTTAAACATCCACACTCAGACTGAAACACTCTGAGGTGCATTCATGCATGTGATGGCACACTGATAAATAATCATATGCATGAGGGCTCTTAGGCAGTCCCTGTGAGCCCTTTAATGCACATCTCCATACAGTACATCTGCAAGTTTATTCAAAAGAAACTACATTTGACATCATCTCTTGTTCCATCAGTAAAGCAAGAGCCTAAGAAGAGAGTCAAAGGAGAACGTTGGTGTAAAACATTTGGCTGGAGGAAAGTGTGGCTGTGGGGGAGGCTGAGCCAGGACACGCTGGAGAGATTACATCTTTCAGTCGACTGTGTGCGGCGAATGCACGGATGGATGTTCACACTGACTTTACCAGATAAACTGGCACAAAGACAGACGTTTTATCATTTAAGCACGTGTGCTGTCAGTGGACAGACAGATAACACCAAAGACTACTTGGCTGTGATGCCTGATATAATCCCCTCAGGTGCATTTGTATTCACGTTATTGTGCGATCTACTGTACAATATGAAGCGCCTTGAGGCGACTGTTGTTGTGATTTGGTGCTAATAAATAAAATTGAAGTTTGCACAGGTACAATTTTATACACTCTTAATAATTTGTGGTAAAACTAAAAGTGCACACCCTCTGTGCTCTCCAATAACCTTTATTTATGCGCCGATGTTTTCATGATGGGCTCAGCAGCCTGAACAGAGCTCAGCTGAAGTGTCTTCAGAACAGGTGTCCTAATTCTGCACAGTATGGACCAGTAATATAAAGTTTTCTTATATGGGTTCTATGAATATAATGAAGAGTAGCACACTGTATTAATCAGCCTGACTGTGAAACAGCAGCTTGT